ATTTCAGCCAGTAGCATGCAAGATGCTACCAGACTTGTGTGCTATTTTATGGCAGCTTGTTTGTCGTAAATAGTACGCGTGTGACTGAAAAATGGACTGTATTTGCCGGAGAAGTAGCGCATGGGCACTAGCTCCCCTGTTTTGTCAAGGGGAGATTTTAGATTCGGAAGACTTTGTTATGAATAGTGACTTGCAGGTAGCAGTTTGTTTTTGATAACGCCCTCTTTTGGCAGGTGATTGCATGTCAAGTATACAACAACAATGTCTTGATCCAAGACGAAGACTGGATTTGAAATTTGTTTCCCTTCTGCAGCCAGTGCCCATAGTAAAGCTATATTCAAGCCAATGCATGCATGGGAGATAAGCTTGAGATTTCTTGGGTCTGAGTGAAAAAGTTCCCTAATCTGGATTAGATTCGTCATGTTGATATCGCCCTGTACTGCTGTGGTAACTTGACCTCACTTGTCAAGGAGTGGCTGAATTACAGGGAACAAAAACCAACTCCAGTCGTGGGCCAAGACCACAGTGCCGCTTGTGCTGCGACCTCTCACCTTTGACCTTGCCGCTGTTCTCAAGTGCTTCCAATTCCCCATCTTACTTGCACATCATGTTATGCTGAGGTCATAAGCTTTTCCTTTGCGTTGGCTTAGGCCTCTTGCATAGTCACTGGATTTCCATTTGGTTGCTTTAGGCCTCTTGCATAGCCACTGGATTTCTTCATATGTAGCGTGAAAGATCAACCGTTTATGATCAATTCACCATTCCAACTCAAAAGTTAGGGGCAGGCCGCTTTGCTGCATGCCGTATGCACACAAGCAAGACTCTTTGCATGTTGTTTGTCTTTTTACAGACCGAACGCAAGAAAAAATTAACTGAGCTGTTTTTTTTTTTGGTTCTCTTGATGCGCAGAGGAAGACTCGGTGCCGGCCAAGATCCTGGCCTACAACCGAGCCAACCGGGCCGTGGCCATCCTGTGCAACCATCAACGGGCCGCCCCCAAGACGTTTGACAAGCAGATGGAGAACCTTCAGGCTAAGATCAAGGCCAAGCATGAGGCCATCAAGAAGGCTCGGAAGGAGTTCAAGGCCATGAAGAACGAGTACAAATCCAGCCGTAACGAGAAGGTCAAAAGGTAAGTGTACCACCGTGGTTTAGAATATGGTGCCTGAGTAGTTTGGTTGGTGTAAACCTAGCTGAGTTATGAAAAAAAATCAGTGTTTAAAAGTATCGGTATGGATTCCATGCATGGACAGTACTTCGCGCTTTGAAACCACTTTCGAAAGCCCCAGTGGGAGGGACTGGTTAGCTCGTGCACTGGTTAAAGTGCATATGGCACATTAACAATTAACAATTGTTGACTGCTGTGATGTGGGATTTGGCATTTTTAACACCGGAGGGGCGCATAGCTGAGAGTGCTATGCACCCTGACGAGGGTTTTAGAATGGAATATCTCACATCACAGCAGTCAACAATTGTTTTGTTATATCGCGCCAATAAGTAAAAAAGACGAAAGGTTTTCAACTCTCTATTCGAGAAATAAATGAAATCACTGCAGTGTAACCTTTTGATTACTGTAAGCTTTGCTGCCAGACATACGATTGAGAGGTTGCAGTTCTCTGCGAGGTGCACAGGCCCTACACACGCACCCTGCAACATATGCAGTGCGGTGTATATGAGATAATTTCTATGTAACGCGGTGTATTTGAGCTGCAGTGCAGTGTATATAACGTTAATGGTAATTTTTATAGACTGAACATGTGGCCGTTTTGGACCAATGACATGACAGTATCCAAGATATGATATAACAACATATATTGGCACATGATATGCGTTTATATTGTCATTGTACATTCAAAGTTTCTGCCAAACATGCCAGAGCCCAGTATTATATGTTCATATGGTAATGTTTCCGAGTGAGCTCTACAAACCCGCCAAAGGTATGGTATTTTGTGATGTCGGATGGTTTGTGGCAATGTCTTAGTATGCATGATTCAGTGAATTGACTCTCTCTTTGCTCTTGTCTGTCTGTCAGTGCCCTGGAGCGTAAGAAGACCCAAGTGGAGCGTCTAGAGGAACAGCTGACCAAGCTGGAGGTGAGCGCTACAGACAAGGAGGAGAATAAGGAGATTGCGCTGGGCACCTCCAAGCTGAACTACCTGGACCCTCGCATCTCAGTGGCCTGGTGAGTTCTCATCAACTTGACCTCTGTTAAACTACCGACATGCAACTTTTCCTCGGATCTGCTGATTTCCTTGTTTTTTTTCCACTTCTCGTGAATGCCATTACAAATTAAAAAACACTGTTCAAAGTCTTGTGTGGTTTGGAGTTTCCAAAATGGATTTTGATGGAGTTGGGGTGGTTAGGGTTTATCCAAGTACGCTTTGTGATAATAACTTGGTCAGTTACTAAGGGGATAAATACTAGTGATCCTGTTAAGAGGGGACGCGTACGTGCTATTTCTGCGACATGTGCCCACATTCGGGGTGCACTTATGAGAACACCATTGGGATTTTACACATTTCACTGATAATTTATTTATTTTATTATTTCCCCCCCCCCCCCCCCCCCCAGGACGAAGAAATGGGCAGTTCCCATCGAGAAGATCTACAACCGCACACAACGGGACAAGTTCCGATGGGCCATCGACATGGCGGGACCCGATTTTGTATTTTAACGAGAGGCAAGACTTATATATTTTCTAGACAAATCACAAACACATTCAAACATTTGACAAACCGTTATTATTTGTACAGATACATAGTAGAACGTTTTTGATGTTAAAAAAAAAGCATTTACTACTTTAAGAGCGTCTTAAAATCCTCCTAGCCACCGATAACGAATCAGATTCTTGTTTTTTTTCCGCGTCGTAAGAGATTTTTTTAAAATGTACTTGAAAACAAATAAAAATAGCTGCCAGTCCTGTGATTTTTTTTCTGTTTCCGCGGAGTGACAACTTCTGTTGAATGAAATTCACGGCAGTTTTTTTTTTTTTTTACAAATAAGGTGGCCTTTGGGTCTTATTTTAATAATGTACATCTATGTATTTTCTGTTGGGATCCATGTTTGTGGAATGTACATTGAAGAGTAAATTCACGCTAAACGTTGGAAAGTTATTGTAGCACTCGTGTTTGTTTAGTAGGCTTTATTTTTATTTAATGGGGCAGTTGTGACAAATTTGGAGGGAATTTGCAAGTTATAAGCCATGTTTGTTAACTTTTGAAATTCTCCTGTACCTGAATTTTGTCTCTTTTTTTTTTCATCCGACTGCCCGTTTTTAAATGGATGTTGAAATTGCCAAGTATTTTTTGTTTCTTTTTTAAGTTTATTGCTTCCAATTTTTGAGTGAGGGAAAATTTGTTTCTCAATTTTATGTTTTGTTTTGAAGGATGAATAAGCAATATTTCTTAGCTGGATATTCGTGACCTGTCAGAAAAACAGTTCTTTAAAACTTGGAAGTGAAATGTTAAATCCCATGCCTTAATCAATTTGAAGTTTGTCAAGCGCAACAGCCCATCAATTAAAACTGAAAAAACTGCACATGACATCATGTAGTTCAATCTGACGTTGGCGACATCATGCCAGCAACTGATTTTGTATTTTGAGATGTGTGCCTGAATTTTATTACCTGACAATTTGTGACGGGCTCCACAAAAAAAGGGTATTATGTCGCAAAAAAGTGAAATTGAGTTATATAGGTGGTTGGAAAGCCCACAATGTAAGCTTTCATTTGGTACATAAAGAGCTCCATAGCCCCTCCCGTTCTGGAGATATGATGTATTTGCATATTAACTACTTCCTTGGAGTTCAAATTACACAACTGAGAAAACAGGCTTTAAAATAGCTGGCTTTGTTGTAGAACAACAGAATGTTGAACACAAAATGGTTGTTTTCTCCCACTTTGTTCATCAAAATCAACATTTCTGTGAATGAAACCTGAAAGTGTAGGTATAAAAGCTGACATTTAGGACAAAAAATGGAAATCACATTTTGACGAAATTTTCACCCTCTCAATTTTGAGCGGGCCACTACACAATAATGCTCAGTGCGACTTAATACCCTTTTTTTGTTGTTGAGCCGGTCACATTTGTGAATGCTTCTCCATTATTTTATAAAATACACAGAGGAAGGCTAGAAATTTGAACACCATTTTAAACTTTTTTTGTGATTCCTTGTGTTAGTGCAGCATAAGATGGGGAAGGGCTTTCTTTTTTTGTACATATCGTCACTGTGTAACGGCGCCATTGTGTCGGCCAGTGCTGTTGCTTTCATCAGCTAGTATTGCACAAAAGTAAACTAGTTTTCTTGTAGTTGAACTATTTCAGGCAGGGACCACAGAGGTTGATTTCAAACTTTCTTCCAATCCCCCCAAATATATTTCAGGTAGAAAACCAGGACTTTTATATTCTTCCGCTTGGTTGCACTTGCTTGAATCAATGTGACAAAGTAATGTGCTATCTTGTAAGTGATGTTTGATTTAATATATTATAAGCCAACGCGCAGTATTACATGTTTGTCGTAAAAGGTGTACCGAAATCAATAATCTTCATCAGTGTACGCCACAGTGGAATAAGTCAACACGTGTCAGGTTTCGCACTCTTCTAGCTTGGATCCCTTTTTTTGTATTTCAATTTTGTGTATTACTTGCTTTATTTATTCTGTATAAAGCCCAACTCATCAGGTGTTATGGATTGGAGTCCAAGGCAGGGATTGTGCATTTACGATTGGCCAGTACGGTTTACATCCATATCATGTTGGACCAATCGCAGTGCTAGTTGAGAACACTCTGCACTCCGATTGGCTGCCGAGTTTTTGCCAGCGGCTATGGGAGTCAATTCTTCCTATCATGTTTTTTATTGCTGACTAGGCCAACTTTCGCATTAACTGTTTTACCCTTTTTTTGATACATAAACCCTTTCCACTCCTTCCACTCCAGTCGGCCATTTTGTGAGTTAAGCAGTCAATAGAACGAAAGCTTGTTCACAATAGGCAGTTTGTTTAACTTTTCTGCCATGTCCTTATATATATACAATTTGTGGTGTTGAAATGCTGTCATCTTCACTGTTATTGCACAGTGAAACTACAGTGAAATCTTGATAAGTCAAACCTCAAGGGAACAGGTTCAAATTTTGACTTAAAACAGAGTTTTGAGTGGAAAGAATTCCATACAAGGCCAATACTCAAACTCCTTAATATGACCTGAAAAGTACCCAAAGTTGTAAATCTGATGAAGAAACACTATTTTAGGAGTGCAAAATTCTTTGATAATACTCTACCTTTTCTTTAATGGCCCATAGACTTTGTGCAGGAGGTCTGAGTGGTGGCCTTGTATGGAATTCTTTCAGTTTTGAGTTATCAGAGTTTGACTTATCGAGATTTCACTGTAAATCACTTTGGCCAACAGTTTACTACGATGGAAGACCTTATAATAACTTGTAGTATCATGTGGTGGGATTTCTCATACCATTTAATTAGTGTGTGGAATTATGTGGTTTGCACATGTTTACGCTGTGAATGTGTCCAACCCCAAAAATGCGGTTGTTGAATAGGTAAGGGTGGAGAGGAACAAGTTGTCTTAAAATAGTGCAATTGTTGTTTAGCACATCCATCTTAAAAAAAAAAAATGAATGACTCGGAATGAAATGTGAAGTCTGGCTCCAAATATAATTTGTCCATTGAGCCAACTATTGAAAGTCAGTAGATTTAATGTTTCACTGCTTTGCTCCCTACTACAACTTGATGTAAACATTGGATGAGAATTTGAATAATAAATTTGCTTAATTTACCCTCATAATTACCAGTTTTATGCAATTGTGTTGGTTAGTCATGCATTCACACGGTCTCTGTGATCTTGCTTTGCTTGCCTTGGCACTATGGTCTAGACATAAGCAATGCAATTTTCTTTTTGTTAAAACAAGTGCGAGTGCACAATAAGCTCTGGCCGTGTTGCAAGAAGTCTTGCGTGAAGGTCTTGCATGAAATCGATCAAAATGATCCCTGCCACAGCTTAAAAATGCAATGCCTAAAAATGTGGCGTCAATGGCACATATGGAACACCATACTTTTGGTCAATTTTCGGGGAGGGACAGACAGACAGACAGACACCACGACCAACCACCAAGTGACATGTTAAAGCTCCTGTCAGAGCTTAAAAACCTTCAGCCACTGACCAATATGAGAAATGTTGAAGACCGTTAGTGTAAAGAGCGGCATTTAGTTCCATCTAAATCCTGTGCAGGCCTGCCCCAGATGAACCTTTCAACTTAAGACATATCTTGCATCTGCTGCACATAACCACTCCCTAACTTTTCCTATACCTGCCATACATCAACAATGCTTTATTCCTAGGTTAGTAAGGATGTGGAACAGTGTTCCTGATGAACATTGGTTCAAACTAGAGTCTCTCACTAAATTTATGTCTGCAGCTGTTATTAACCATCTTACAAATAAGAACTTTGACTCGCTGTGAATGCGATTCCTTATGCTTCTGCAGTCGACTCTCGTTAATACGAGCACAGTTAAGACGAGATTTCGGAGAACATGATTTAACTTTTGAAGGCAAATTCATTGCAATTTCAACAAGAGCATGTGGCCTATGCATGAGCTACATGAACGATCCATGATGCATGTTGGCGAGTGCGCGAAAAATGCTTGTCGCTTAATAAGAGCTATTGTCATATTTAGTCCCGAGGACCTCGTATTAACGACGAGAGTCGACTGCACATGTATTATGCCGAAATGATTGGCGTTATTATGGAAAAACGGAACATAAATTTTCTGCAAATTTCCGTTCCTGCTCTTCCTCTATTTAGACTTCACCGAGTACTAGAAATTATAACAAGGAATAATTGTTTTAATAGAAACTATCTGCGCATTCAACAAGCCAAAAAAAAACATCCACATTGCTCAAAAGCTAGAGGCTAATACCGATTACAGTACATGTACAACATCGCATCGGATAGTCAGAAAGACGTCTTGTTCGTTTTTTTCTAGATCACCTTAAGTCATTCTTTAAACTTGACTTTGCTTTTCCTTTCCGTTGTGTGTTTTTCCGCTGCGTGTTTTTCGTCATGATCTTTCATCCGTCGAGGCACCTTGACGCTCAGCTTCCCAGTCTTGGCCAAAAACACCGAGACATCCTCCACAATGACGTCTTCGGGCAGCGTGTACCGGCGGCTGAACTCCCGGGTGACATTGGCCTTTTCCCCCGGGCTCCCCTCGGCGTGTTTGCCCTTAATGACGACGTGGTCTCCCACGATCTTGACGGCCAGTTCCTCCGGCGCGTACGCGGCAACATCCACGTCCACCCGGAACTCCTTGGGACTCACTTGCACCTCGGCACTGCCGCTCTGCTGCTGGATATGCTTGGGGATCATCATAGTTGGAGGACCCTTAAAAGGGTCCTTGGTGGAAGACTTCGGTTGCAGTTGACCGTCACTTGACCTACGTAACTCGGCGTCGAATACAGGGTCGGTGCCTCTTATTGGCTTAATCTGACGGGGCATCATCGCGGGTGGAGGTCCAACGAATATCTGACCGTCGTTTACCGGAAACATCGGCGGTAACTGGCCATCGCTAGACCGTCGTACGTCGCCGACAGGCGGTTTCACACCACCGCTTTTTGTCTTTGGGACGAACTGCTGGGAAGCACGTGTTGACCCAATTGGGACGCCCTTGCTGGGAAACATCGGCGGTAGCTGACCATCGCTGGACCGGCGTTGTTCGTGGAGCTGAAACCGAGGACCGGACGCTGGGTGTAGACGATTAGCATGTGGGGAAGAGGTCGGCAAGCCCTCTGCCAGTTTCTGCTCACAGTGACGCCGAACGTGTTGCTTGAACGCCTCAGTCTGCAATGGACTTCCCGAGCTTAAAGACATGGTTACAGTGTTGATCCCTAAGTAATTTGTAAGTCTTTACAATAATTAGCAAATGTCAGATAAACTTCACTGTTAAAATGATGTTTAAACTTTTACAGCAACAGCTCACGATTATGTGTAGCGGACAGCGGACAGAAGACGAGTTTATAAACAGTTTGACCGAGTTCTAGAAGATTCTGTGAGATCTGAAAAATGTTTTCAGCGACGGTTACACATATATTTATTGTTGTCGTTCAGCAACTGCTACAAACTTACCAACGATCCCACGCACACGAGTTGTACGTGACTTCAGTCGCCTCTGAATGCCTTGAAATGCGACATTGACACAACCATTGACCTACAAACTCTCTTTTGTTTGCGTGAATGCCAGAGCTCTGTTTTTCATTCGTTAGTGGGATAATAACGCCCGTTTTTGAGTTGGAAAAGTAGGACGAAATTGTTTTCGCCTAAGTGGATCTTTTGTTACGAGAATTTCATGAACATTCTTTGGATAGTTTGCACAGCGGTTGCGCTTATTGTGTGACCAGGTTGTTTTAGCAGCCGAACAAAAGGCAGCCTTGGAACTTTCTTGGTCATCATAAACAATATGCAAGTCTACGTACGTACGGGAGTCGGGAGTGGGAATTCCGTGGTGTCCCCCCCCCTCCTTAAAGGCCGCAGTTTAAAAGGGGGGGGGGGGGGGGGTATGCACTAAATAGAAGATCACAAACCTGTTAACCCGCCCCCTTGAGACAAAGCTGGATCCGCCCCTGATATGCATATTAAGCGCTACATGAGATTCTCCGGTTATAACGAAGTTGTTCGGAATGTGGCCCAATAATCACAAACCTTAAATATTGAAGTGTAAAAATTACTTATAGGTCTCAGATATCTTCCTTATTTTTGTCATTATTCGGAAGAAAAAAATTATAAAGATTTTTAAACAGCCGTTTTGGCCGCTTTTTGAGATGGTTTATGACGTCGATGAATTCAGCTATCACGCTAGTCTTGGCCCAGGACGCTAGTGATCGATAGTGGATGGTGCATCGAGCCCTCTAATGGCACAACAATGACCAGCAGGCCTACTCGCAAAACGTCTTGGCCATTTCGTTTCAGCGTTTTTACTTTTTTCCCCTAAGCTTTCCCAGGGAACCGATCAGTGATCGAGAAAATGATTCAATGGCTCGCCCAACGGTTGTAAACATACGCGCTGTACTGCGGTGATCAAGCATGGAGCTACAAAAAGGAACTGTGTTTGTTCAAATTTATTCAGACGATCTATTTACATAAAATGGCCCCGCCCCCATTGCTACGAAATGACCAAGACGTTAGTGAGAGAAAGTAAACACACAATTATGCAAGGGCGCTTCACAACAATGCAACTATCGCTCTTGATCACTGACGTCTTGTGCCAAGACTACTATCACGCTAACTGTTCATTAAATTTCTGTGACTTATATTTAAAAAGGGGGGGGGGGGGGGGGGGCTGAGTTACCCCCGACGAAAATGGAACCATTTCAAAGGAACGCGAACAAGTAACAATTCAAGAGACATCAGTCATTATTCACTTTAATTTATTTGCTTATGAATCATTAGTACTCAACACAGGCTGTATTTTTTCTTCTTTTAACCCTACCCCAAAGGTGTGTGAAAAATCATATTAATATTTGAGTATTTAGGATAGCTTTTAAGAGAATTTATGGAATTTTAAAAATAGATTGAACATTTTTTTTGGTCAGGAATTCCATACAGCAAATGATTGGTAAGGCGTTTAGGTAATACTGTTTGAGATAATAATTATTTGTGACCCCAAAAGTGGGGATTGAACAGGTTTGTCACTCATTAAAAGTATTATTTGATATCATATTGTAGTTTATAATGGGCATTTTTTATATACAGATCTACAATAATTATCAGAAGCGATTGGGAATGAGAAGGCAAAAGAGGAATTTAGTCTTAAAAGTTTAAATCTCACCCTCTTGCACAAAGCTGATGAAACTCGCTCCATGATATTTGTCATGCATTGTTCACTTGATCTATTTTGGTTTACAATGTAATTCCATTTGTTAACAACAGAGTTATTTCGGATCAAAAGAAGTAATTTTGTTTTACACTACCACTGTGTTATTTTTAATTCTTTTGATTACACGTCTCGTTGCTTTGATGGACATTTTGGCCATTCCAAATAGACATCATGTCTGATATGGTTGCTCCGTGCATGGTAATAACGTTTCGGTACTCGCAAAATGAGTAGGGAATAAAAGGCATGGCATTGTGCCTGAATCCACTGTTATGAACTGGCTTAATGCCGACTTTTCTCAGGCAAATCCCTACCAGCACGTCTTCGATGTGAATATATTTTGGACTGAGGGTAGCCATGTTGAAAACCAGCGCGGGGAGGTCACCTGACATGACGTAAGCCGCGCCTGCGCAGTAGGGAGGATATTTCTGCTCCCCGTACATTTCCACCGGCATGTAGTTTTTCTTGGTGCTTTCGCGAATCGGCGGCATAGCCTCGAACACGTGACCGGTCATGAACCGTTTCGTAGGCGTCGTTGGACTCGCGAGGAGTCTCGCGAGATTCTCGCGATTTACGTACATGTCGTCGTCCGTTTTCATGACGTACGCCGCTTGCGGGCAGTATTCACCCGCCCACCTCATACCCATCATCGTCTTTAGGGTGAGGTTTTTGTAACTCTCCACGAAGTCCTCCATTAGAATGTCGTGGTATTGGTCACTCTCCTTTTGAACGATCTCGCGAAGGGTACTGTTTGTACTTTGGCCCAGCATAAATAGAACAACAATTGTCTTCCCCATCACTTCGCCGGGGCGGGCCCATGTTTCACGGATTGTCTGCCGAACGTCACTTTTCTCGTGAGTGGTGACGACGAGAACCAATAGGAACACTGCTTTGTTGACGCCGTCGGCTTTCTTGCACGCCATTGGTTCATTCAACACGAGGTTAAAGTCATGTGTTATCATTGGGTTACCACCCTTGTCTACGGTACCATTCTTGGAAACCGATTTTGTGTTTCCTTCAGTCAAAGGAGGGTTAGACCTACCACCGCCAGCTTTATTTGCCGATACGGGAGAGGAAGAATTGCCATTTTTGTTCCAATTCCAATGCTCTTGCTTGTCCCCCTCGTTTCCAGCCATGGATTTCTGATTTCCATTCGATTTACCAGTGCCTACTTGATCTCCTTGTTTTACTGTTGTAGCGGGCTTACCACTCTGGTTTCCGGTTCCCTGAACGGTCTTCGAGTCTTGGACTGTCGCTTTGCCAAGACCCGATTTATCCCATTTGCCCTGGACAGGTGCGGGCTTGGCTTTATCCTTGATCCTATCTGCTAGTTTGGGGTCTTTCCACTTCAAAGTCCAGCTAGATTTACTCTTGTCACCCTGCGCTGGAGATGCTACTCGCTTGCCTGTTTTCTCTCCGTTCTCTGCAACTGGTTTGGGATCTCCAGACAGTGGTTTACCAGTGTCGGTATTTTTACTGCCTCCTTGCCCCGCTGTCCACTTGACACCCCCTTTCATCTCTGCTGGTCTTTTGTCTCCAGGATTCCATTTACCACTACCATCTTTGATTTTGCCCTTTTGAAGGCCAACCGGAGAGGCTACGGGTTTGTTCCACTGCTTTCCAGCACCTTCACTGAATGGCCTTTGCCTGGTCAGTTGACCATCGCCTGGTTTAGTTTTGTCCCATTTCACGGGAGGCTTGTCCCACTGTTTCCTGGCACCTGAATTCTTGGGTTCGTCTGGCAATTTGCCCCCAGCTTTCGCAGTTTTATCTTGATGGATTTGCGATTCAGACTTCGGAGGGTCTCTTTTCTTGCTCTCGTTCGTCTTCTGCCAGTTGCCACCTACATCTGCGATAGACTTGGTGTTATCAGGTGGAGATATTGCCTTGTTGGTTTGGTTTTTACCGTCCGCGACCGGTTTTGGATTTCCTGACATTTCACTCCCGTTAGCATAATGTTCTTTTCCTGGCACTTTAGGATTGTCCCACTTTTTACCTGCAGTAAGTTTCTTGTCCGTGTCGTCTGCACCCTTGTTTGGTTGAAGGCCTACTGGTGAAGACGGAGGCCTGTCACCCTCCTTTTGGGGCCCCTCCGCCAATTTCGGGTCACTGTCTTCTCTCACTTTTGTGCCAGCAGTTTTCACTGTATCCTCCCGCTCTGCCGAGAGTGTGAGTTTGTTACTCTCGTTTCTGTTTCCTGCAACAGCTCCTGGCTTTTCTTCACTTCCTTTAGCGGTGTCAGCCTCCGTATCATCCTTCCCTGCTGGCGGTAAAACTTTGTCACCCCCCTCCACGTATTCATCCGCTGTTTTCGTTACATTGTTAGTTATTTTGTACATGTCTTTCTCATCTCTGTCTTTTTGTGTTAGTGATGATGTCCGATTCTCTTTTGTATTCTCCTTCTCTGATGTCGAGCCACTGGCCGTACGATTACCATCAACCTTGTTTATGGTTCTACCCACTAACGACGGCACGGCCTCTTCACTGGCCTTTTTATATCCCTCCGCTGATCCATGGTCTCTTTCCGTCCAATTCGCCTCGAGGTCCTTAGAACTATCAGGCAGCGGGAGTGGCTTGTCACTCTCCTCTCCGTATCCATCCGTATCCCTTCGCCTCGGGTAGTTAGAACTACTACTTTCAGTGCGATTCTTGTCTCCATGTGAATAAATTTTCTGCAGGAATTTGTGCATGGTCTCCGCATCCAAAGTGTTCATGTTCGCAATCGGGTAGCGAATGCCTGCCGTTCTCATGGGTTTCCTCAGAAATCCTTGAAAATGGCGAGGACCCTGGTTGGCGTTTTCAAAGATGTAAATGTAGGAAAGCGTGCTGGCGACTCCGGAGATGACCATCAACAAGAAGACCTTGAATTTGTTGCCCATGATTCCTTGCAGCTGATCTGCGGGTCAGGTATCTGAAGGTTCCTGCAGGGAAGTAGAAAATGTTTTTGATAATTATCAATTCTTATGATTAAATAAAATCGTCTTTGAGTTTTACTATTCAATATACAGGGTAAGTAAAAAAACAAACAACGAAACCCAAATGGCAGGACCCATTTTTGAATGAAGTTTGGCTTGTATCACTTTCAAAATCTAGGATATAAAAGCCCAGTCATTAGGCTTTCTTTTAGTACAACAACCATTTAAATCACTCATGTGCTTTTCAAGTTAGGGAATTTTGAACACAAACACCCTTTTAAAGTTCT